AGGAGATCTGCTCCAGTCCCGAATCCTGGAGCGAGCCCTCTGTTCTCCCATTGAATTGTTCTTGTCATGAACCTGATTAATCTGGACACTCTCTGCCTACGGCGGACAATAAAGCCTTTGTGAACAAAAGGGTCCAGCTTTGTTTACAACATCTGGGTGCGTCTACAATCCTCCCGTTAACATTTCCCCCCCCCTCCAGTACGAGAACTACGCGCCTCGAATTGAGCCTTTTGATGGAGAGCACGTGGAGATGCCGCCACGTTCGGACCACGCTGCTGGAAATGTTTCAGAGGGCATCAAAGCAGAACCCGGCAGCACGTCCCGCTAAAGGAGCGGCCAAGGGAAGGGCACGGTCCCACCACCTTAAAAACCAGCAGTTCCTCCAAAGTTAGACGGATGCCTGTCACAGGGCCAGAAACTAAATCCTAGTTGTCCAAATCAGTTTTCATTGCCTTAACTACACGCTCACCCTTCCTTTAGTATTTCCTATCCTCTTTTACTTGCCAAACGTTTAAACAACCCTAAAAGGAACAGAGCCAGCACGCTGCTGTTGCATTTGCTGCTCTTTAGATGCAGCTCTGCCGTAAATTACTCCAGCAAACCCCTAGATTGGTATCTGGAGCAACGCTTCTTGGGCAGCCACAGAGAACAAAGTACGCCGGGCCGTGCACAGGGAGCGTATGGGGCTTTGGTTTCACTTCTGAAATGTTGTGGTAAACTTCAAAGGAGGATCAACACAGAATTTAACAAAAAAAACTGACCCGAGGCATCAGTTGATGTTCATGATGATGGAAATATTCCCTCTCTCTCCAGAAACTCTCCAGCACAGAAAGGACAGAAGTCGCCCGACGAGCGAGTGGTCTCATGTCACGGAGCGGGATTTGGTCAAGAAAGAGGCACTTTCTGAAACTTTGACACCAACGAATCAGCTCATTTGACACGACTGTAATAGATAGCACAGTCGCTACCCTGCATTCCTTGAATCTGTCGCTCATTTCAAAATTTGCTTTCAGTATTGACAAAAGTTTGGTCATACTAAACGTTTCAACAAGCTCACTCTCGCGTTGGAAGCCCAATTACATGGTTTTGCTTTCTTTTCCCCTGTACAATCTCCATCTGAGCGTTCCCAGTACAAAACAAGCTTTCCACACTTAACTAAATCTCAGTGAGAGGTTGCACATGATCTTAGGCAGTGCCACAGAAACCATTCCCATTGCTAAGCACATTTATGGGAGTAATTGGAACAGAACCACTGCCGCGACTGGCAGGCTAATTCCTGCCCGGAGAAAAGACGTTAACTAGATTTTGTGATTACGCCTCACAGGCACCCCTCTGTTCTGGCATTCAGGGTTTTCACAAAAATATTTTTTTAACGTCTCCCTTTTATCAAGGCACATCAACGCAACCAAGTTTCCAGGAGCGTGGACAAGGCTGTGGCGGTGCCGGCAAGACCCTCACCGCCACCCCAGCTGTAACCCGGAGCAGGAGGTGGTGTCTCTCCATCCCTCCTCGCACCCCCAGAGCCGCTCGCAGCCGGAAGGCACCACGGACAAACACATTTTTGCACGACTGAGGCTTCACAGCTGTAACGATTTCAACGCAGCACCGCGATTCGCACCCTGGTCAGGACATTAATAAAACCCCAGGGTCAAACCATCCCCAGATGCCGGAACCGATCGCTCGGGAGCGTCCCGCCGCAGCCCCGTAAGCCGGGCTGAGCCTTGCTGCGCTCGGTGAGCTGCTCTTCACACAAACCCAGCAGACCAGGTGTGGGACCCTCAGGTGTTTCCGACGAGCGAGGGGAGCCCTCCCCATCCCCCCCACCTGTGAAAAGCCCCAAACCTGAACACCGGAGTCTGAGGAAAAACACAACCCTGGGACCAGGTATAACTTCTCCTGGAGACTTGGTTTAGTTACGAAGATGGGCATCAGCGCGGATGATTGCTCTCTAAGTTGGAGAACTCTTTCAGCACAGAAATATTTATTGAATAATTTCAGAAAACCCTGGGACTGAAAGCGAAGCAACTGGTCGCTCGCCTGCCCTACCCGCCGTGCATCCCACGGCACGATACCCCGTGTTGGGATAGCGGGGATCGCGTTCATTAATTTCTCACAAGGAAATTATAGCCCATTGCATCCAAACAGCGCTGAAGTGCTCGGGTTACCTCTGCCAGTGAATGGAACGAGGGGAAAAATCTCGCGTGTTGCCGAGCGTCAGGCTGCTCGCCTTTCCACCCGGGGCATCCCCTCCCGCAGCTCGGCAGGGCTCCGCCACGCCTCGCCCCACGGCGAAAAGGGGAGAAATCCAGCAAAAGCGAGGAAGCTTTCCCAC